GGGGGTCAAAAAAAAATAAGGCCCGGCCTTATTATGTGAGAAACACGGTATGTATGTATGTATGTATGTATGTATGTATGTATGTATGTATGTATGTATGGTATTTAGGTTTCTTCGGGTATTTTCCCACGTCTTAATAGTTGTGCTTGTAAAGTTAGAGAGATGTTTCGGCAGAATCTCATCTGCCATCTTCAGGCTTGTGTATTGTGTTCGTCTGTGAGTCAGACTTTCATAGCCATTTCTGTTTTAAATTTGGAGCTAGCCTACTGCTGGGCAAGAATGGTTTTTTCTTCATCCTGATTGGTTGGGAGTCTTGGTCTGTGTTTATTGGTCTTGGAGTTTGCTGTGTTCTGCTTGATTGGTGTTGTGAAACTCTGACGCACAGACGAACACAATACAGAAGCCTGATGATGGCAGATGAGATTCTTGCCAAAACATTGCTACAACTTTAAAAGCACAACTATAATGACGTGGGAAAATACCCAAACAAAGCTGAATACTATACATGTATATAGACATTGGATTGATTCAATTTCTAGACAATTAGATTTCCACATCTGTTTATGTAATATAATATTTTTGTTAAAAATAGATGGGGAAATTTATAACTGTTTGCAGAATTGTTATGTAAAGGGAGGAGAATACATCAGATTTTTGATGTATTTGTCACCATTCAGCAGGGTGGATACTTTTATGTCTAATATTAGTTGTCAATGATGTGTTTGATATCTAGGCTTTTTTCTACATTTTCTTTTGTTTTTGCTGTTGGTGTCAGATGTTTGCTAGTTTGTTTTCTCTTTGTCTTTGTTTTGTGTTTTATCTTTGAAGATAAAAATTAAATAGACATGTACGAAAAGAATTGGAAAACAGGGTATTAGTGAGACTAAGAGGCAATTGCAAAGTATCTCACATACACACCTCGGGATCGAAGGATGTGGCTCACTAAATCAGAGCCTTTCTTGGCACTGGAGAGCTGCAAGGCACCAGACTGCAGGTCTTCTAGCACAGACTGGGCTGTGTCGAAGCTGTCATTCATAGTCGTGATGATTACACCTGTGGGTCCCCTCTTTACCCAGCCACTGCAATAGAGCCCTGAAAAACATAATGACCAACCAGGCAATTGAGACCTAGTGCTTTATTTTTTAACAGAACCAAGCAATGGCCACGAATCTGAAGTAACTTCTTGTGGTACATTTATTCAAAATCTTCTGCTAATGCCAGGAAGAAGATGATTCAGTTATACTTGCAGTAGCCATTCAAGACCAGTACAAGATGAGGTCTGGAAAACCTTGATCCTTCTTCTTTCTTAGTGGATAGCATAGGCGTGTACATGTAATCTGAGTCCCAATAATTCACGCTGGCCATTCATCGTTCAGCCTTGTTCAGCCGAACCCTCCGATTCCCCATTGTCTTTACCACACCAATTTCTTCTACGTGGCACAGCATGAGTTCTGCTCACCTGGTGCCCCGAAAACTCTGCCTGAATTGTTGGGAATAACACCTCGCTTGCTGTCAAAGGGTACTGCAGGATCTATTGGAAGGCTTTTGTATCCAATGCTGCTAAAAATCAGGCCAGACCGTAGTTCCTCGATTTCTCCAGTGGGAACTGCTTTCACAGCATCTCCTGCCCCCTGCACAGTCCAGGAAGAGGAAAAACGGAGAAGGACAACATGAAGATGGCCACTCCCTATAAAGCAGTTGCATAATCAGGCAACCCCCATGTTTTAAACAGCAGTTAAGGAAGTGTGAATGGAATGGGAGCCCACCTTAAGATGCTATGGAGTCTTAACAACAACAAAAAAAAAAAGTTGCAATTCAGTTCTTAGCTAATTCTCCTCCTAAATGTTGGTTGGTTTATTTATTTTCAGGACACCCTCCTATCACAGGTATCAATACAAAACAGAGGAAGTTCTTTCCACAATGCTACACAGAGCACGAATCCTTGGAGACACATATAGTGGCTTCCTGAGAGCCTCTCTTTTAAGCAGAGAGCAGGCAGTTACCCTGATACTCCTAATTAGAGTGGGAAAATAAAACTATATTTAACTTATTGCTAAAAGGCGGCAGTGCGGAGGTTGTTGCCAACCTTAAAGGGATAAATTAAGGACAAGGGCAAAGTTAAGAGGGTTGAAGGCCCAGAAAAGAAAAAGTTTGAGATCGTACTTCCAACCTGTTGACAGCTAACTGGATCGCTCTTGCTCTCTTTCCATCCATGGTGGGTAACACTTCCAGGGGACTGCGCAGAAACTTCAATCTCCACTCTTTGCATGCTGAAGCCCAGCGGCCACCCACCTCCTCAGGTGGTTCTTCCAGAGCTGTTTTGGTCATCAGTTCAGTTAGGCGTTTCTTTGATCTTGGGATGTCTGAAAAAATTTAAAAGTATTGGGAAACAAGGGGTTTCCCAGGAGGCAGAGTTTACCACTGTATGAGGGGTGCTGAGCAGAATAACCTGAAAAAATACTGACAGTCAGCTGCCACCTCACGCTTGTACTACACAACCATTCAGTATCAGCTGCCATGAACTCAAGGGGGGAGGCATGGGAAGGAGGATGCTTCTAGGAAAACCAAACTTCACTGTATCACTCTGAGATGGGCTTCAAAGTCAAGCAGCTTGGAAGGGAACCTTATGGAGGTCAGTGATGGGAGGCAACTAAGGGAGGGAAAAAAATTAGATATGGGGGAGTTCTCACAATCGACGACTGTAATTCACTTGACTTCTATACCTTTTTCAACAAATGGAGTTAAGGATCGTTCTTACTTAGAGATTCGAGCTGAGGCAGGTCTGACACTGGTTTCCATTTCCTTTCTCTCCCTCCCTCCCTTTGTCCTTGCCTATGTTATTTTTTGGTGTGTTTTTTAATGACACTTTTTAAGCTTTCCCCGTTGTCCTCCTCCACTTTTCCCTTTGTGTTGCAATTTTGTATTTTAACTTTTCTTTTTATTTTTCAAACTTAAATTGTTTTTTTTTTTAAGGAATGTTTGTGGTGAAGTTAGAAGCTGGGTTGACTGGCAATTTGAATGTGTGCATTTATATGCAGAAGATTCTTGTGCTGTCGATTGGGAACCTTCATGATTTGTGGTGAATGTGAGATAGGTTGCACGAGGCAACAAGGAGCATGGATCCAAAAATTAATGTATTAATATACAATCAAAGTAGTTGTGTTTGACAGAAAAAAAAAATTGATGAGCAATTGTAAGATGTACATAAACAGCAAAAATTATGAATTTGCACATCTTGTCAAAATATGCACTAAAGATAGAAAAATGAGTGGAAGTGTTTTTAAGACAAACAAATGCTAGTAAGATAGGTAGGACTATTGCATGGCATGTTGTGAGGAGTGAACATTTGTGGAAAGGAGCAAAAATGGCCACGTATATGAGCTCATTCCTGCCTATTTTGCAATAGGAAAGAGTTGGAGACATCAGCAGAAGTATGAAAATTAATGGAACCCATTAGGAAGTAATTATTTAAGAAGACAAATGCATGCTGGATGATGTATCCAGAATACAAAAGTGAATGGTCACCATGAATGAAGTCCACTGAGGTGGTGTGGTGAAAAACAACAACCCCAGATTATCCTCTCTCAGTCAAACCATGTAAACGGACATTTCATCACCAGAAGAGAATGTAACCATTGCGTCCAAAAAAAGGTTCTTCCTTAGATTATTTACAGGTAAAGCAAAGAGAAGAAGCCTGGCTTTTGAAATTAGACATTAGGAGAAATAAATTAGCACAAACTGTACTGATGTAAGAAGAAAGGCAATTTAGGACAGCTCAATGCTGAAAACAGAAATTTAAGCATAGAATTTACCTAAACCTCCTGAAAAAAAAAACATTCCACTTACAGTTTCTTCTAATTTACATTGTACACTTGCACCTTTTGTCACATACTTTTCTGCTTTTTTCCCCCCTCTGATCCTCACGTCCCTCCATTCAATTTGCAGAAAACCTGCTCTTTCTGGAGAAACCTCAGACAGGGAACGGTCTCAGCTCTCCCACGGTTACCAAGTGCACTGCGTGTTCAAAACACTGCAATTCAACCAGGCCACACAGGTGGCAGTTTATTATTATTACAAAGAGATGTTCTGATGGAAAATGAGGGAAAACTAGGAGACACATCTGGCTCACTAAAACACAGGACACTAAATCATTTCAAAAAATGGCTGCTATACAAATTTATCCCTTCATAACAACTCGCATGGAATTTGAGGAAGGGGACAATTCCCAGAGATTGACAAAATGAGTTTTTGTCTGCCCTCAATCATTACGCCTAATTACTAAATCATAATTGCTTTCATTTGGCCTGGATCATTTTGGCCAATTGTTACATTATAAAATACCCACCTTCTTGAACACCCTGGCTGCTGAATTACCTCAATACATTAGTAATTCCCACCAAGATGACAGATCTGAAGTTCCTGATGGCTTGTTCAAGAACAGAAATGGGTGAAGAGAAAATCAGAACCACATTAGGGTGAAAAAGCTTTATTCTCCAACATTGTCCAACAGTACACTTAGCAAATCCATGATAAATGGTTGGTGGAGAAGGATTCTGGGATTTGTGGTTCAGCAA